ACACACCACACATGCAGACACACACATACACAGACACACACACACATACACACACACCACACACACACCACACACACACACCACACACATCACACACACACCACACACACACCACACACATCACACACACACCACACACACCACACACACACACCACACACACACACCACACACACACCACACACACACACACACACACAAACCACACACACACACACACACACACACACACACCACACACGTGGAGGCCAGAAGGGAACCTTAAATGTCATTTCCCAGATGTCATCCACCTTGTTTTTGAGACAAGGCCTCTCACTGGCCTGGAACTCACCAAGTAGGGTAGGCTGGCTGGCCAACAAACCCCAGCGATCTGCCTGTCTCCATCTCCCCAGTAGGGAGATTATAAACACACAGTATCATGCCTGAATCTTTTTATGTGAATTCTGGGGATCAGAGTCAGCTCCTCAGCACCAACTGAGCTATTTTTCCAGCCTATTGTTATATTTTCTTTAAGAAATTGTTTGCTTGTTTTTTTAGACTTTGCTTCAGTATTTTTCATTCTGAAAAATGGAGCCCAGCTAATTTTCTGTGGATTCATTTTGGAGTAGGCCAGTCCTTTGGAGTGGGCAAGGAAGCCTTGAGGGTTATGGTATGCAAGAAAGTCAGCCTGGGCTAAGGGGGTCCTCAGAGCCTGCAGGAAGCCCTATCCCTGGCAGCTGCCCATGTCTCCTCCTTCTGCAAGTTCTGTAATTCTACCTCCAGCTGACCTGCCCTGCCCTCTTGAGACCTGGTCTGAAGATGCAAATCTGGTAACATAGTCTGTCCACATTCAGTGAGTGCTACAGTGATAAGTTACCAGCTCCTGTCCTCCCGACCCTACAGGGGACATAAGCAGCCCCAGCTGGGGTCACCAGCTGGTGCCACTCCCCTCCTCCACCACACCTGCTCTTTCTTTTTTGCTCCCTGGGAAGCTGAGGGAGGCTGGTCCAGGAATGGGCACCTGCTAATAGACAGGCTCCATAGAGCTCACAGGATGAGGTTGGGGACACATCTCACCTGCCTAAGGGACAGTGAGTTACAGGCTAATAGGAGAGGGGTATAAAGGCACATATGTCTGGGGATGCAGAGCATATCTGGGATACAAGACACACAACTGGGCTACAGTACAGACACCCTGGAGTGTAGACTCCACCTGAGAGGCTGTCCCTTCATCACCATACCTGGTGGATCAGGTGTCTCCTTAGAAACTTCTTCTAAACGGCCCACTTTCCCTAATGGAAACAACAACAGCATGCTGGGACATACCAAGCTCTCTTCCAGGGCTGCCTCAGAGGCTGTGAGGTAGGAAAGCCAGCAGGCCAGGGCTTCTGAATAGGGGTAGGGAGAAACTGCAGCTGGCCATCACACAGCCCTGGGGGAGGTGTCAGAGGGAGAGCTGCAAGCCTGCAGGCACCCCCATATTCCAGGATGCCTTCGCTGCAGCCTCAGTTTTCTCTAGATTCCATTTGTTCTCACTGCTGCTATTGTGTGTGAATGGAGCAGTTAACACTAGAAAAAGAGCCTCTGGATGAGAGCCCTGTGTCCTCTCGGCCCATTCCTGGGCGTGTTCTGACAGCACAACACCCTTTCCTCCCTCTTTCACAGGACAAGTGATAGTCTGGTGGTATCCTTTTACGATGTGCCATTAAGGAAATACATATTCAAGGTAAAACAAAGCAAAGATGGGCACAGAGTCTGTGTGTGTTGAGGCCCTGACTCCTGCAGCCCCCAGGTGGATTTTGGGCACCACCCAGAGAGGGGCCTCTCTCTTTTGCTATAACCCACCCTTTGTATAAGTTGCTGCTGCCCTGCAGTGGATGCTGCATAGATCTTCAGAGGACTATGCTGGGCTGATCCTCCTGTAAACTCTTGGCCCTGGGGCTTTAACACAGTGTGACCAATGTTAGTTGCTCTGCCACAGGGTCCAGAAAGTGTTTCGAAGGGTTCTGCTTTCCACACCAGCTACAGCTTGGCTGTTACCTCAGCCTCCGTTGACTCTCCTTTGTGCACATGCCCTCCAGCCTGCATTGCTGCCCTGACCCCCTTATGGACTAGTTCCCTAGGTTCCCTTTCTTCCTGGAGTGCCACAGCTACCAGTGCTCAAGGGAGCACACCTGAGATCCGGAACTCCCTCTGTGACCTCCAGACTCCTGGGTATGGGTAGGAATCCTGACCAGAAGCCTTTCTCCTAGAGCAGATGGAGTGTGGCAGGGTTGCCAGTAAGGGTCATCCTCCTGATCTCTGTACCTCTGGCTCCTTTCCATAAGGACTGATCCACCCTGGCACCTGTTTGCCATCTTGTGGGGCTGCAGGAACCTGGATAGAATGTGGCTGGAGCCTGTATGATGAGGAGGGGGCTACATCACTGTGAGGTAGGTGCCCCACTGGCCTTATCACAGCCCTGGCTGCTGCTTTGCTCACAGTTCCTCTCCCACTTGGTCTAAATTTTCTGCTTACCACCTTCTGACCTGCTCAGTTTGTCCTCTGTATTTCTTGCTGCCTGGTACCGTGTCATTGTTGCTGGCCCTTTAGAAGGCGATCCTCAGGAGGGCAGAACCTCTCTCATGTTTCCGTGTCCCATGAGGGCTCAGGAGGCAGCGGCTCAGATAACCCATCAGATGCATGGAGTCTTTTCATCAAGTCAGGTCCCGTGGAATTGCAGGGAGTCCTGGGGTTCACACTCCAGTAGAGCTTCCTACTTGAGCTTGTCCTTGGATACTCTGCTTTGACCCCTAAGCAACCTCATTTTGTGGTGACTTGGTGCCTTAGGAGGAGAGTCTTTCTGGTCAAGGAGGCTGCATTTTTCTCTTGTACTTTTTATCACTCCTGAAGGGGGATGGGCAGGAAGGGAACCTGGCCCTTGTGACTGAGCGTTACCTGTGTTGTTCTGGCTGATTGTAGCATTTGTACCCATCATGAGTGAAGCAGGAGTCACACTGTATACTCCTGTGATGGAGGCATACCTTGGCCACACTGGTGTTGGAATCTGCAGCCTTTGATGGGACCTGCATGTTTCAGTTGTGAGGCAACCTTGGCACTGACCCTCCACAAATTGGTATGTGCCTACGTAAGGAGTTCCTCTCCTTGCACTGAGCTCCTGAGTCCTCAGCTCCCAGAGATGCTGGCTGGAAACTCATTGTTTCTGCTACCCAGGGCAGAAATTGACCACATACTCACTGGAGTGACAGTGACTATGGTGGGATCATTTGCACGGCCCTGTGTTCTTGAGTCTTGCTGGGAGGTAACACCACCTTCCAGTCTTCTCAGCCCTCAGGGGTGTCTGCCTGTCTTGGAGATCAGCATTCCACAGAAACAAAGCATGCTGCTGCTATTCCTTAGGTTCCCCTGTAGATACCCTTCTCTGAGCCTGGGGGCCAACCTCATGCTCTAGGATCCTGGGGCAGGCCCCTTTTGGTGTCTCTAGGGCCACCCACTACCCCTGAGCAAGGTTTAACCCATGCTAAGAAGGCTCAGATCTGAGGGGGAGTAGGTATAGCATGACTGGCCTGGATCTCCCTAAGGGTAGCATCATTTCACAGACCCTGGGCATCCCTTCAGGCATCCGCCCATAGCAAGGAAGGCCCAGGAAGAAGGCAGTGGAAACACAGCCGGTGGGGCTGAGGCAGACTCACTGTCAGACCCTGTGTCTTCGACCCAGAGCCTGCAGGCCCCAGGCTGACGGGGCCAGTGCCAGGGCTAACAGCTAGATGGATGCTGTACTGCTAGACAGCCAGTTTTGAGACGTCCCAGAGGGATGGTGCTGATCATCAGCTCTCGCTAAGTCTTGTCACCTGCAGCCACATACTTCAGCTAGAACCAGGGACATGGCAATCAAGAATACAGCTGGACTATGAGACACAGAGTGACCCCTTCTTTCCTTTCTCTCCAGCAACATGGCTGACAGCAAGGCCAAACCTGCCAAAGCTGCCAACAGGACACCACCCAAGTCCCCAGGGGACCCCAGCAAGGAAAAGGCTGCTAAGAGGTTGTCACTGGAGTCAGAGGGTGCCAATGAGGGGGCAGCTGCAGCCCCTGAGCTCAGTGCCCTGGAGGAAGCTTTCCGGCGGTTTGCAGTGCACGGGGACACCCGGGCAACGGGGAAGGAGATGCATGGCAAGAACTGGTCAAAACTGTGCAAAGACTGCCACGTGATCGATGGGAAGAACGTGACTGTCACTGACGTGGACATTGTCTTCAGCAAGATCAAGTAAGTGCCATACGGGCTTGGCTGGTTGGTGCTCATTTCAGTGGCTATGAGGGTCTGTGAAGTATCAGGTTTGTACATTCTGTTGTCCTGAGGGCTTCATGCCAAGAAGTAGGCACAGAGCCCGCAATATCTGGGACAGCCTGGAGAGTATGGTGTTCCCAAGTGCATCTGGACTCTGGCCACATCCTGAGCTGTGGACCCTGCGTCAGTCTATATGGGTCTAGACCCTAGGTGTGGCCTGAGGAGCTTTTGGCCTTGAGCAGACTTTATTAACTCTGATCCCCAGGTCAGTGAACTGTTGCTAGACATGAGCAGGGGCTGCTCAGGGGCACAGAGCCCCAGCCACTGTAGGCTGAGTCTATGAGGCTGGTGTGGGGCACAGGCCTAGGTAGCCCTGTTCCCAGGATATGTGACAGTAGCTCATGACACCCTCTGCCAGCCCCTTATTCACCTCTGCTTGTACTTGGGAAATGTTCACATATGCAGCCAAGTTGAGATGAATTAGAGAGTAGCCATGATCCATCTGCAGACTCAGCAGTCACAGCTGTGCCTGGCATGCACTGTCTGTGTGCACATACGTATATCTTTGTATCATCAATGTACATATGTGTTGATGTGTCATACATGCCCAGGTATATCATTTCTATACAGCTGCACATGTCCCTGCATCATGGATATGTGTATATGTGTCCACATATCATGCATAAATGGGTATGCATGTGTGTCCATGCATCATGCAGATAGTCATGTATCCCTGTGTTGTATGTACATACATACTCCTATGTCAAGAGTATGTATGTGAGCAACTGTATCATCTGTGTTCATATGTGTCCAAGTGTCATGAGTGTATACTTGCATCCAAGTGGTGTGTATGCGCACATGCTCCTGTGTCATGGGTGTACATGGGTCCATACATGTATGTGGGCATATACCTATCTCATATCTACTCATATATATGTTTCTGTGTTGTTGTAAGCATGTGTGCCCCTACATATGTTCACATGTATACCTGTGTCATGAATGTGCACGAGTGTCCATGCAGCATGAATGAGCATGTGTCCTTGTGTAATGGGTGTGCATGCCTATCTGTGCATATATATGTGTACTAGATTCCTGTATCATAGGTATATAAATTATGCACATGCATGGGCACACTGGGAAGTATGTGGAAGAGCCTCACCCTTTCTTACCTCCTCAGACATCTTTGAGGCACTTGAACATTCCCAGGCTGTTACAACCTCATGATCATACCTAATCCCAAGGACAATGCCTAGCCTTCTCCTGTCCCTCATGTAGATTTGGCTCTTTCACCTTGGTTCTGCCTGTCTACTTTCTGGTGTCCTGTGGCTAAGGTGTGTGTTGCTCTTCTACCTCAAGTTTCTAGTGCTTTGACACCAAATGGTTTTCTGAAGGACTGTGTTGTCAGTTAGACATCTGTGTGCTGCCAGGTCTCAAGGTTGGTTTCTATAGATGCCGCTAGCTGAACGTCACTTTCTTTTCTGGCTTTGGGTGGGTGATACGGTCTTCATAGCTGTGGTTTTCTGTCACCATTTTGCTTGTGAAAATGTTGGTGTTCCCTAGGTGTGGTAAGGTACCCCAAGGTCACACACTGGTGTCAGGAGAGGTCTTTGGGCAACAGCCATTAGGGTAGAAGTGGCCTGGCAGATGGTCTGTGAGAGCTCTAACAAGGATCCATGTGGGAAACTGGGGCAGCCCCAGGCAGGTGGAGATATTCAGCATGTGTCTCCATGGGAAGAGATGGAATAGGCAAGATTACTAGACATAGGGACTTGGGACACTGGTATCTTCCTGCTCCAGATGAAACCAGCTCTAGCCTCCTCCAGACCCTGATTTGGAAGAGTTTCATGAAAGAAGTCTGAGCCAGAGGTTTCAAGGCCCTGAACCCTGGGAAAGTTCCATGCAAGAACCTGGCATTCCCAATGCTGACACCAACTTCCTACGTGCTGGGAGCACAAGACCTCTTCAAAGCAGGAAGATCTTAACCCCTTGTTCCCTGACAAGCTTCCTACTGTGCACAGCATAATGGAATGTGTCTGGGGCATCTTAAGTTTGGGTGGGTACACTGGAAAGGATGAAAAACCTATCCCAAAAGGGCCCTACATCCTGACTCTCTCCAGGTTTCACCAGCCCTGGGGATTCTACAGAAGACTCTGAGCTGCCCATTTTGTTTGTTCTGTCTCAGTGTGTTCTCGAACTCCCACAGGAAACGGGAGAAAACTGTCCATGAAGCCTCAACCTATGTGTGCAGATGTGCCCAGCCAGCCTCAGTCTCCATCCAGCTCAGACTCTTTCTTGTGATGTCACAAACCCACCTTTGCCTTGGACTTAGTTGTCTGGGGTCAGGATGTGAGAGGAGGCTATGGCCAGTGGCTCAAGTGTGTGTGGTCACTTTGTCCTGCTACCTACCTAGGAAGCCCTCACTTCTGCTCTGGCCAGGTCTCATTGTACTAGTGCTGGCACCAGTGGTTTTCAGGTCTGTCCAAGAGGTGCTTGGCCAGGGACCCTACATATTCCTGAGCTGTGGCTCTTGGGCTTCTCTTAACTCTTCCTTTTCCACAGCTTTATCTGTGTGCCATGCTGTTGGGTAGCAATGATCCCCATGTGACCCCTACAGAGAAGAGTCTACTGAGTATCATGTATTCTTCTGCCAGAAGGAGAGCCCAGGACAAAGGGCCAGGAGATAGTTCTTTCTCCTGACTTCCTAAATGAGAAGACAGCAGGGTCTTTGGAGATAGGAAGCCATAAGGGTCTGCAAGGTATAGAATAGGTCATAAAGGGGACTCAGTGGTTAAGAGCATTGGCTGCTCTTGCAGAGGACCCGGTTTCAGTTCCCAGCACCCAAATGGCAGCTAACAACCATCTATGACTCCAGTTTCAGGGGATCCAATGCCCTCTTCTGACCTCTGCAAGCATTGCTTGACATAGGTACACTTACATACATGAAGGCAATACACTCATACCCATAAAATTAAAAAAAATAAACTATTAAAAAAGAACAGGTCATAAGGATTCAGGCATGTGCTTGTAGCAAGATGTTTGCCAACTCACAGGGCCTTCAAAGTGTTGTAGCTCCTTAGGTTTTGGTGCTTACAGTCCCTAAGGATTTCACCAAGGTGAGTTTGAGTACTGACACCATCATAACCCTTGACTAAGAGCAGCTGGAGCTCACTGTGCAGGTACAAGATCTGTCCTGACTGTCCCCTGTTAGGAAATGTGCAGCCTCAAAGCAACTGGCCTTATGGTGTGGGTTTCAGTGGACAGCCCCAGGCAGGGACAGACAGGCAAGTCCTGGTGATCAAAGGTTCTCTGGAAGGTTGGCCAGTCATGGGAGAGGGGCTACCAATTGACCAGGGACTGCAGCCCCTGGCACAGCCATTAATTTTACCTTGGTGCCCAGAGCTCCTGTTGGCCAGTGAACATGACCTGCAACACTGAGGTCAGGGAAAAGTAAGTCAGCTGTATCTATCACATGCGTGTAGTTGACGCTGATTGCTTGTGGAACTTACCTGTGTCTGACCTGAAACATGGACATGGGAAGCTCTTCACCTTATCTGCCCACCTGCAGATGCTCCTTGCAGATCTAGCCCTGAGCCTAACCAGTGCCTGGTAAACTGCTCCTATAATGGAAGCATATAGGTTGTTTCCTAGGCAAGACCAGTGAGGTCACCTTGTTCTACTCCCTGGGCCCGTCCCTCATGGCACCACGCCCTCAGTAAACCCACAGCATCCAGGACAATTAAGAGCAAACCCAGAAACAAAGAGGCCTAGAGCTTGCACCTATAAGAGAGCTTCTGGAAGGGCTGAGTGGGAGGCAGGAAGTAGCCTGTCCAGGGGCCAGTCAACTTTTCCAGTTTCATCTGCAGGAAGCTGCCTTCCAGTTATTGCATGCTTGTATAGGTGAACCAACCCCACTTCATGTAGAATTTGTGTTCTTACACCCTCCCAGTGGGTGGTACCATGTGGTCATGGGTCATTTGGATGATGGTGACCACAGAAGCCTGGGAACTCCTTTCTGTCATGGGGAGCACTAGTCCCATAAGAGTGAGCCCATTGAAGGGAATGCCTAATAAGTCCCCATCTCTGTTTCCAGAATGAGAGACTTCAGGTGCTCAGACACTTGTTCCCTGACTCAGGACATGGCCGCTCTCCACTGCAGACTCAGGGCTGCTTAAGAACCTTGGGATATCTCCCTCGCAAGTCAAGCCTGCAGCTCAAGCCCAGAGAAGGCTCAAGGCTATGATAGTCCAAGGCAGGCAGACTATTAGTGCTAGATCCTAATGCCAGCAGGACTTGTTGACACCATCGGTGGGCACTGTAAGGAAGGTGTCCAGCTGGGTAACAGGGGAGAGCCAGGGTGAAGTGCCTGGCCTAAGGAGAGACCCAGGAACTCTGATTTCCCTTCTGCCTACAGACATAGACCCCTGAGACTCTGGGAGCTACCATCCTCTCCCCTCTACCACCTTTGGACTATCCTCTCTCAGAGCCTGGACTCCTCTGGGGGTTCCTTATGGCCTGTGCCCCACTTGGGATACTTCTAATCTGGAGGAAGACCCTGCTCTCCCAGGCATGTGTGAACAAAAGACCAAGACTTATGCTGGCCTTGAGTACAGGAGGACGATAAACCCTTTAGGGTTGTGAGGCAATGGTGATACTAGATATGGTCCTTGGGACCTGCAGGAAAACTCTGGATTGAGAGTGTGTGTTTTGCATCGTGAGGGCTAGGTGTCTATGGTCCCTTGATGGTCAGCAATGGCAGCTGCAGAGGCCTTTGCCTCCTGTGAGAGCTTGGGGACTGTGAGGAAATTGCTTAGGTATCGCCAGGAAGTTGCTGACTCTGACAGGACTTGAGAGAGAAAAAGTACAACTATTTCTGTTTTGGGGCAGGTTGCCATGGCTCTGCAGGCGTGGCGCCAGCTGGGGTATCTGCAGCCTTTGTTTAGGTCCTTGTCACCATGGCAGCGCTTGTTTGTTTTGATGTT